CATGCCGCCTGCCTGCCTGCTGCTTCCAAAATATGCAGCCTTTTCTGACCCTTAATTTCCAAGCGATATTGCATAAAGATACTCCCTTCCCCCCACTTTGGGTTTCGGATGATAATATGCATTCTATTCTATGTGTTTCTTTGTGCTGTGTTGTCTATCAGTGACATTGCCTGTTGGGTTTCAATTTTGGTTGTTTTTGTGTTAGCACAGTGGTGGATCGATAATAAGGGATTTCTATCTCTTTCACTTTCTTGGGTTTCTTTTCTTTCTCATAAATTTTGTGTTCTCAAATTCAAACCTTTGCCCAGATGTATTTAAACTCACTCATTTGAAAACAGTGGTGGATTAGGAATGAGTCAGTGGCATCATTACTTGCAGAGTTTGTCAATCCCATCGCTTTAAAAACCCCCCACAATTATCACATTTCAATCTCCTTCTCACTCCCCCATAAACCCTTCATAAGGCCCAAATCCATGGCCTGACACTATGAGTTTCCCTCTGGGCCTCAAACATGAGCCGAACTTATGCAGAATGTCCTACTGCGGTGTCTGGGCCGACATCCATTTCATTGAAATGAACTGTGGAAGCAAAGAGTGATTAGAGTTTAAGAAAGTGGGGCAATGAAGAGGGGATGGTGGTGGGATCTAATGAGGTGAGCTAGCATATGGTGTTGGTCACCTAAAACTGAGGCATTCCCACATTTTCAGCATCATCCCATGAGCCCAATGGATGAGATCCGCCTCTCACTAATCACACCCACATTGATATTGCCCAACAAAATTATTGTATTTTTGAAGCAATATCTCCCCAATGGCTCGGTTAGTTGATGTGGGGTTCCTCTGTTTTCCCCTTCACAACCCTTCTCTCCTCCTCCCATGTCTCTTTCTACTTCATCATTGTCTTAGCTTTGTGGTTGAAGATTTCAACTCCTTTTTCCACTCTATAATGTCAAGGGAGGGAGCTAGCTAGCTTCTGGGTTTTCCTCAATCAATGTGGGCCGGACCTCTAATGGGCTGGACCCCAATTCAAATCATTCATATCCATATTTTTCTATATTGGATAGAAAGAAAAGAAGCAATGGTGTGGCCATTAATAATTGCAGATGTAGATGAAGATGAAAGATGAAGATGGAGGACAGGACCCATCAATGCAATGGTGACAAATGACAACTCAATGAATACTTTACAATGGAAAAACATAAACTATTTTGTGATGAGAAGGTGTCAGTGAGATATGGAGGACCCAAAACAAGGAAGAGGGGTCAGTCAGGCATATGATCGAGCACTTAGGCTGCATTCTCTAAAATTTCAAGAAACTCAAAACCCGACAATGGCGTCTCAATCCCACCCGCCATGTGCATTGCCTTCCCCATCTCTTTCATTTCCTTTCAGCCACAACCAATCCACCACCATAATTCTCCCTTTCCCCTCCCATTGTCAACTACCGTTTGTACACCCTTATCAGATTCTATTCTCCACTTATTATTGCATTGACAATCAAATTCACAAATGCTGATCCTAATATTACATCATAATTCATTTACCCATTACCCTACCATTTTGGGGCAGCAAAATCGACACAATCATACAAGCGCTTGTGTGTTTTTCTAATCTGGTTTGATTATCCAGCTAAATAATAAAGGGTGTTAGATATTCTTATTAGATTCGAATAAGAAGTAGAAGAAAACGCACCGCAAATTGCAAGGAAAAAGAATGGAGGAGATGGGTTCCTATGTTCCCTCCAATGGAAACCTCCTGCTGGCAGTGGCGACTACCTAACCCAACCGCGTGTTTTAATATGTTATCTTTCCAATTTGGACAGTCTGGTCAAGAGGGCACAGCAGCCGGCACCCTCCGCCCCTTTCGCCCTACTAATAATTAAGTGCTTCTATCATCCTACTAATAATTAAGTGCTTCTATCCAATAAGATATGTTCACTCTCAACATAAATTTGTGATCAACCCCTTAATTAGCAAATCTAAGACGGTCTTTAAAACAAACCCGCTTGTTCATATATGGATTGGATTGAATATAACCCCACGTCCTCCACTTGAAAAAATCTGCTGAACTCTCTACCAACTCTTTTAACAAGCAATTTTTAATAATGGGTCGACCCATATCAGGTAGCGTCACATTGATTCGTTGGAATGAACGTAGAGCAAACAAAATGATAGAAGTTGCACTAAATCTCGAGATAATTTCCCCATAAATTTTTTAATGAAGGAAGGGGATTTATTTAATTTGAATGAGGGAGGCAAAAATAGTTAAGTTAGGTATATGGGGTAATGTATAATAAATTAAATGAAAACAATTGAGTGAGGGGAAAGAGAAAAAGTGTCCCCTATGCCACAAATAGAGAAGGGCCAATGTTGGGAATGGAAAAGGGCTTTTTCCCAACATCAATGGCCACCTTCATTTATGTTTCAACATGACCCTTTCTTACAATTTTGACTCTTTCCTTCCTTTATTAACCCTCTTCCTTCTTCTTCTTCTCTTTAATGCGACCCGTTGAAGAACACGGTCGGTATTCATACCACTTGTTTCGATTTAACTTCATCTTTACGTCTCGCGCGTTTAAGATGTTTGATGGGGTTCTTATCGTTAATTAGTTTCGTTCAAAAAGTTATGAACTTTATTACAAAGATGTTGTACAAATTGATTATATAAAAATTTTAAGGCTAAAAGCTTTGACTTTTGAAGTATGCTCCAATTATGTCCTTAGATTTATAAATTTTTCGTCTTTACCTTTTGGGTTCGAACGAAATTTAATCTAAAAGATACTTGTGAGATTCCACGTTGATTGGAGATGTGACCGTGAGGCTAACGACGATATGTAATGGATCAAATTGGATAATAATAGTGGCGGTAAGCTCAGACTGTTACAATACTATTTGATAGATTAAAAAACATACATGACATCATTTACAACATTATTCACGTAAATTGACATAACAACTACATGTTGGGTCCTCTTGTCAATTGGTTGTCTCTTTCTTCTTTATATTAACAACTCATTTTTGTTCGTAATCTCTTCCCAACTTTATCTCCAACCATTTTAAAAAAATCTAATTGAAGATCTTCAAATCATTGACCCCCACGTAATCACCAAACATTAGAACCCAGCCCAGAGCCGCCGGAGAACTCGAACATAATCATCGCTGATGAAAGCACTGCACCAAGATACTCACTTTATTTGTTTTTTTTCTCTCTTTTAAAGAACCCACCAAAATGGGGTTTTATTTTTAATTCAGTTCCTTTTTCGCTTTTAAAGCATGCAAGGATTTTAATATACCTCGAACTTCGTGCGTCTAAGCGTTTAATCATTCATATGTTAATGTATGACTCACTCTCAATAATTCTTAACAATCTGTGTTGTCTGAAGTGATTTTGATAATGGGTTTTGAGATAATGATTGATGAACGAGTTTATGTATATAATAAGAATCGTTTGTTTGTGGTTCAATTTGGAGAAAGTTGTGAGCACGTCGAGGCACATATGGGCAATTACTCGTGCATGGTTGGCAGTTCGAAGCCAAGTTTTATATTATTTGTGTAATTTAATGGGAAAAAAACAGAGAGATTTTGGTCATGAATGGTTGAGAACAAAGTTGGGTGTAATGGTGTTTGACTGAGTCCGTAGGTTGAAGGAGTAGTAGGCTCCATGACTTTACAGGCAGGACAGTTGACTTCTGTGTCTGTAAATTCCCTTCTTCACAGACAAGACAAACCCTCATAGGCTGTCTACTGCACCATTTTACATTTTTAAAATGCACGGTCACCAAATGCTATTACTTCTACTTTTCGATCTAGACGAGTTCATTTGAAAAGGTTTACGTTTAGTGATATTTGCTATTTTGATTTATATATTCTTGAATTCGGTTTATTTTGGTCCCTGTACTTTTAAAAAGTGACATTAATTGTAAAAGTTCAAGCATACTGTTAGTAGATATTGTCTGTTTAGATTGAACCTCATTGGAGGTTTACATGTTACTCTCTCCAACTGAGGTTGGACTTCACAATCACCCTTTTGGAGCCCAACATTCTCGCTGGCATATCACTTGGTGTTTGGCTCTAATACCATTTGTAGTAGCTCAAACTCGCTATTAGTAAATTATAGCCGCTTTGGCCCATTATATATCACCGTCAACCTCACGATTTTAAAATACATCTACTAGGGAGAGTTTTTCACACTCTTGTGAGAAATGTTTCATTCCTCTTTTCAACCAACGAGACCTCAAAATCCACCCCCTAAGGCCCAGTGACCTTGTTGGCTCACCACCAGCGTCTAGCTCTAATACTATTTGTAACAGTTCAAGCTCACCGCTGGTAGATATTATCCACTTTTAACTCATTATGTATCATCGTTAGTCTCACAATTTTAAAATACGTCTATTAGGGAGAGGTTTCCATACCCTTGTAAAAAATGTTTTGTTCCTCTCTTCAATAGAATTCACCACAATTGAAACTCTTATCAAGCGACTAAAGAATAGAAAAGACAATTGAAGTGAGAAAGAGGAGAGATTAGAGTAAAACAAGTTGAGTTAAAGTAATGTAAGTATATTTTAATGAGATAGTGGGAAAGTATTATAATATATATATATATATAGGAGAGCTGGCAGGATCTAGAAACAGTAATAGACAGAGGTACCCAAAAGCAAAGAGAAGAAGAGAAGAAGGTCAAAATTCAGGAAGAAACTCCACTCCTATATGGGGCTCCACTCTCTCTCTTACTCGCTCTCTCTCTCTCTCCTGCGACTTTGACCACTTGGGTATGTCTTAAATACACGTTAGGCAAATGGGTTTGTGACACGTGGCAAAAAGATCATTTCTTTAACCTAAAACCCATACACTTAATGAGATGGATAGACTAATAAGGGTGGGGGATTACAAAAAGGAAAGGGGGAAGTGAAGAAGAAAGAGCATCTTTCTCTGCTTTTGATGGCTACTCAACCCTTCCCGCTCTGCTGTGTTTCACTGCAAAAAGCAAGCCAAGGCGACCCCATTTGGCCTTAAAACTCATAAAAAGTGAGCCTTGAGAAGAAGAGAAAGACATTGAATAAGGCGTTTTCTGAATAGAATATTTCACAAAACAGAGAGAGAGAGATCAGATCATAAACGTAATCCAATCCTGTACACTTCTCTTATTCCAACCAACCAAACCCCCAAATCCCCAAATCCCCATCCATTTTGAATCACTTTTCTCCACTACCTATATACCTATCTTTCAAACCTTTCAAAAAAAAAAAAAAAATATAATAGTAAAGCAACGTGAGGGACGAACACCCAAATCTCCCTCTTTTCTTGCATTCAATGTACATATATAACTCAACACTTTACCCCGCCCCTCCCCCACCTTCTCTACTCTTTGGCTGCTCTGCAAAATCAGCCTTTAATCGCATGTGGCCGGCCACCCCCCCAATGCCAACCTTTTTCCCAACTCTCTGGTTCATCCATGTTTCAGTTGGGAAATCTTTTATCGATTGGATAATAGTTAGCTATCTATCTATCTATCCATCCTTCCTTCTTTCTTTCTTATTCACCTGTCCTCAACGAAGATTCGTCCTATGAAGTCTCGGAATCTTTTCGAATACAGCTTTGGGTCGACTGCTGATATTGAGGTGGGATCGACTTGTAAGGATTTGTATGCGTGCTCCAGTTTCTTACTGATATCGTAGTCCTGTAAGATGTCGATGATCCCGAAATACAGGACAACTTCGTAGAATTCACCACTCCTTGAAGGGATCAAATGGCTTGTCCCGCCAGGAGTGTACTGATCGAAGTCGCTCTTTCTAGCCATTCGTTCGGCTCTAGCTGGCATATTGGCTCCTAACCTGATTAAAGGTTTCCTGGAAGAGTGGAACGTAACGGGTTAAAAATCGTTGTGTGTACGTTTGGATTAGAACAAAAACAGATGTGATTGTATGTGGATGATTCAACCTAGTTGGTCATAGTGATGTTAAGTGATGGAACAAAAACAGTAGAATTTGACAAGAAACATACTGGCCAGCTAAAACTCGATCCATGTCCTGCAGCTCTGCTTCAAGAAAGCGACAGCCACGCATGAACTTTTCATTCTGATAAGAATCTTTGTAACCTGCAAGATAGCATAAGTGTTCATTAGCTTATCAAATCACCCACATGACAACGTTGTGGTGATCGGATTATTTACCAGATCGTAATAGAAATGGTGATAAGCCCATTTTATCGTATCGACTCTCGTCACGGAAATGAAGACCAACCAGAAGACTATAATCCATGATTCTCTCAGCTTCCAAGAACTCACAGTCTCGGTTAATTTGCCTGTCGTGTTTTCGAAACACTAATGTTAAATTCAACGCCCTGTAAATAGAGAATGCAAGAACCATAAAATCTGAATGTAAAAACTTACTTGATGAATTCCTGGAACCAACTTTGCTGAAGACGAAACACGAAATTAAGATCAAGATCCTTAAGTGTAGTGGTTTCATCAATTTCTCCTGCAGGCTTATCTGTTGTCCGACCATGGGACGAACCCTTAAGGTCGAAACGTCGATGAATTCGGTATTCAGAGCAGAACAAGTTGCCCATCACGATAAACCGTGTCTGGTTACGTTACAAAGATTTAAGTTAGAACACAAATCCTAACAGTAACATATCTAGAGAGTAAAACAGCACGCACCTTTGGACCACCAATTGGTTTTACACAATGCACGCCAAAGAATTTCGTCACGAGCGAATTCTCGTATCGACATACATGATCATAATAGCTTGGCAACATCCTTATGAGCACCTGAAAAGAGAGTACTAATTTCATCAATGATCATTCTTCAACATATCATCCAATCCATAAAATGGAGCACAACAAACTAAACAAAGCTAATCAGAATCCTGGCAACCGACCTTCACTTCTGATTTCTTCACTGTCTTTATCATAAATCTATCATCATGAGTTAAGTAGAAAGAACTTCCACTCTTTCCTGGAGAAGAGAGCTCTCTAAGGGTGTCATTTCCACAAATAGCTAGCATGTAATCAGCAGGGTCAACCCGGAACAGGTCCCTCAGATGTCTACATTACACAAGGATTGCAACGAAACTGGTCAATCATTGAACAACAAAGATCAAATAGAGCAGAAACTTTGAAGATTGAATACCTGAACACCAAGGGGCAGTAATCCTTCCATCGAAACTCCACGGATTGATGAGGGGGCGTAGTTTTCGATCCTTCCGGTGGAAACCTCGTCCAGAACTTCTCCTTCGGATCGAAATCACTTGTCTTAAGGTTCCGAAGAATTGAAGCGTGTTTCCCGATTGAATACCTACAGCAAACCCCAGAAAAATCCAATCAAGAACAGAGAAGAAAAACCCTAAAATCAGCATCGAGGAACGAGCATTTCAGATGAAGTAAAGAACTCAATCGGTAATTACCTTATACCCTGTTGGAGATTGAGCATGAGTTCGTAGTTCTTATGCCCCTTGGAAATCGTCTGCCCTGGTTTCTTGGCATCATTGGTTGAACAACAAGGAGTTTTCTTAAACTGTCTAAACCCATCTCGATACAACATCGAAGCCTCCACATTATCGAGTATATCACAAGTGATATCGCCGGCTTCGCCGTCGGATTCCCAAATGCAAATCCTCGGGAAATTTCTCTCCGTCGAGCTGCCTCTGCTAGCATCCACCGAAGAACTTTTCCTGAATGTTGCGGTCAAATTCGCACCCTCAACAACCTCAGTGCTTTCGATTTTCTCTTTCGCGTCTAGCGAATCGAAACTTCCATTGTATTGCTGGATTTTCATTTCGTTATTCCATTCACTGGTATGGCTACTGCCGTCGAGAAGACTGAAAACTCCGTTCCCTTTCGGTACTCCGTTCTCCCATTGACCTTCGTACCGATTCCCGTTGGCCCAAATCAAAACCCCCTGACCGGACATCAACCCGTTCTTCCACTCACCCACATACTCGTTCCCGTTCTTCCAGACGTAACGGCCATTTCCGTCCTGAACATTCCGCTTCCAGGTTCCGTCGTAGAAATCGCCGTTGGCGTAACGTTTCTGGCCGAAACCGTGTTTCCGATCTGCACACCATGAGCCACGATAGGTGTCGCCGTCGGATCCAATAAAAGTGCCAGTCCCTTCCATCCGACCCGACCTGAATTCGCCTTCATATGTAGCACCAGAAGGCCAAGAAAATTTCCCTTTCCCCGAGGCCTTACCCCTCTTCCACTCACCCTCATACATACACCCATCAGTCCACAAATACTTCCCCGATCCGTGCGGAACGCTCCCCAAGCAACTCCCAATGTACAGATCCCCGTTGGGAAGGTGCTTCTCCACAGCCGACGGCGCAAGGATTCCAGTACCATCACCGGAAACAGAGTCGACAGTAGCCACCGTAGTTATGGAAGGAGTAGTCGTCAAGGTAGTGGGTGTAACCCTTCGCGAACTCGCCTGTGATCGGCTACGATTTACAACAAGAACCGGAGGAACAGCGAGCATCTGCATCTGTGAATCTTTATCTAGCTTATCGTCATCGGATTTCTTCTTCTTGTGGGTAGAAGAGACGATTAAGCTGGGGTCATCACAGGGCAGAGCCTCTCGCATTTTCCAAGCACACATAAATGAGGCTTATCCTGACGAGCTCGCTCAATTTCTTCCGCTGTCTCTACTTTCTCTCCTATTCCTGGTTCGTTAGCTCTGCATCTGTCCTGCAGAAGGTTAAAAATGGCTGCAATGGGGCCAACAAAAATTCCGGCTCATTAGAGAAGGCAATTCTTCTGTGTGTGTGTGTGTGTGTCGTGCAGTTGTTTCCACGCTTTTCGTAGGCGGTGGTGATGAGAAAATAGGTGGGAAGGCTAGCAGCTGAACAGAGGCCGAGGCAGATATGAAAATACGAAAGGGCGTAGAGAGAGAAACAGAAAAGAACGGATTTAATATTAAAAACTCTGAATCAATAAATAAAATAAATAAATAATAAATACAAAGTAAATAAGACGGCTTTTCCTGGGGAAGTTGCTCATCCCACTGTCTAATCCTGCGGATACAAATCAGCCAAATTAAATTTACTTTCTTTTTTTTTTATTAATTATTTCTTTTTATTCAAAACATCTAAATTTAATTTAATTAAGCCCATGACCCGAACCACTTAAATAGAGTTTATAACTCAATTCTTTCGATCAGATTAATAATTAAAATCTCATAAAATTTAAATATCAAATATTTAGGAGTTTGAGTACAAACCTTAAATATTTTTAATTTTTTTTTAACAATATGGCTCGATGGTAACCAATTTGGTTGAGTATCTTACCCCCTTAGACTCTCTCCTAATTCATTATTTGTTACTAATTAAACTTAATTTCTTAGAAATAGGACAACAATTACTTTTATGAATTAATTGAAATTAACAGAAAATAAACTTTTTAAAAAAAAACGGAATGTCGAGAATACCCTCCTCATGCGCCGCGAGAAGAGGGCAATATGGGGAAATAAGTTTTAAAGATTTTATAAATTAGCCCCTAAACATGGTTTTAAATACAGTAATGCCATTCATGCGGCTTTAGGGGAAAATGTTCCGTTCGTGATCCGAGGCATCATTGTTTGATTTACGGTTGCGGTGGGGCCCACTGCCTTCTACGATTGTTCCAAAATTTTAATTTTTTTTTTATGAATAAAATAATTGAAAAAAAGAAAAAAAAAAAAAAAAAAGGATCGGAAATTATTTTCGAAATTTACGTTCCGCCCTCCCACCTAATTACATCACACGCACTTTTTGCTATTTTATTAATAAATTTTATTAATTCAACAAAAGACAAAATTTTGGTATTTTGACTTTCCTACGTTAAATTTTGCGAAGTATTTTCATAAACATTTGTTTTAATGGTTGGGGAACATCTATCACTTAAGCCAAAAATAATTAAGAATTTCAAAAAAAAAAAAAAAAA